CCCAAACTCGGTACACCTAGCTCCACTCGTTTATTGGTTCCAGTAGCCCTGGGATAGTAACAGATTTTATTGAAACGCGAATGGTAACTGGGGTGACCAGTCACCCCTAACCTTCAAGTAGTGAATAAAACACAGTTTTTAAGGAATTAACTTTATATTTAATTATTAAGCAAACAAATAGGAACTTTTTTCCGAGATCAATCAGTTTTCAATAAAATTAAACAAACAAAAACATTAAAAATATAATCTAAACACAGCTCAAACAAATTTCTCTTCTATGTTCAGGACATACTGGCTTCTTGCATTTTGTGCACACAATTTTGACTTTTTTATCATTTTTACGTGGGCACAACACACATCTGGCTTGCTTCTGTAATTTTGAAGGGGGTTCGCCTTCAGGAATTTCTTCTGGAATGTCAAGAATAGCACGTATAGTGCTAGCCAATTCGCGAGGTAAATTTGATTGTAAACGTCTTTTCATATGTGGCTTAGCCAACTGCAAGGCCATATTTTTTAAGAAACCACTTCTATACTTCTTAGCTGGTGTATTAGGTTTTTTAGCCTTGAGGTACAATATCATAGCATTGATGCCTGCCTGATCTAACATCCCAAAGAAGAACCTGAGAGGCCAGCGACGGGTGCCTCTGGCTGTCGAGTAATTATGCATCATTTTATCAAAAGTGTCGACGCCTCCCTTCGTAGCATTGTAGTCATCAATTATGATTGGCTTGCTTGTAGATGGATTTATTTCTTCTTTGTAATGCATAGTAGACAGCAGTATAACAGACTTGTTAGTCTTAGGAGTAAAAGATACTAATGTCTTTTCTCTATCAAATGCAAACTGGGAAGACAAAGGTTTCTTATTCTTGTTCGGCAAAAACGAGGGCGGTATCTCACGTTTGTTTTTACGCAATGTTCCAATACAAGTCAGCTTGTAATCCTTCAGTAGTAAATCAGCAAGTGGCACTGATGTAAACCAATTATCAAAGGTTATGTTTCGACCAGATCCTTTGATGCTATCTGCTAATTTTGTGACGTAGTCTGCTGCGGACTTTGCTTCGGTTCCCTTGCCTATATAAGGGATGGCATCAAACATATAGTAAGTTTTAGCGTCACAAATAGCTACAACTTTCATCCCGTATTTGTCAGGTTTTGAAGAAATGTAGACGCGAAAGGGACACTTTCCTCGAAAACCTAATAACTGCTCGTCAATAGTTACGAAGGCGCTTGGCTTGTAAGACTCTTTGCAACTGTTGATAAAGATTGTCCAAACTTCTCGAATTGGAGCAAATCGGTCTTCTTTATGACGACTGTCTTTGTCATCAAATCTTAGACACAGAAGTAGAAATTGATATCGACTCTCAGACATTATAGACTTGTATATAGGTGTACTCATTAGCGACCACATTTCTTTAGTACTTTTTCTATTATCTTTGTTGATAGCAGAAAAGAATAATAGACCAATGAGGGCTTGGATTTCAATCGAGTCAGTTTGATTAGTATATCGCTGATCTTTGTACTTAGGAGCACGTCTTCCAATCTCTTGATTGGTATACTTTACTATCAAATCAATTGGCTTAGAGAATAATAACATAAATGCATCTTTTTCATCACGAATACCTTCCATAATTGCTTGTGGAGTTCTCTGGAGGCTAACAATATTACGCTGAGGTGTTCTACTTGAAGATGGTGCAACAGATGACCAGAGGTGGCCATTCTTTCCTCTTAAGGCATTACCGCGCATTTGTGACAATGGCACATCATCGTCATCTGAGCCAGAAATTACATCCACTTCATCCGAATGCACTGAGATGTTGTCTTCGCAATCTGACGTTTCTTCGGTCTCAAGCATCAAAAATTCTTCGTCATTATCTTCATCACTATTATTTAGTATATTTCCAACCTGTTCATCACTTAAAAAATCCATTTTTTACCTAAAACAATACATATTTAATTTGAGTATGCAAAAAAAATTCACACGTAAATAGTAACAGGGGTGACGCGTCACCCCACACATACCTATATCTCCGAAGCGACGTCCATTCGCTGCCCGCGCGCAACCGTTACTAATTGCGAACGACAAAACAAGAGAATACATGAAATGACAGAAAGAGACAACAAATCACATTCGAGATATTAGCATGTGATTGGTTGTCTGGGGTGAAGAGTAACCCCTGTTACCATCCTAAGGGTAGCAGTCTTCGAAGTAAAGAATATGAATATGAATATGAAATCTTTGAACTCATCATATTTGAATTCTTTCACAACGTATGGGTTCTTAACAACTTTCTTATTTTCTTTCTTAATGTATACTTTTTTGATCTTGCTTTCTTAAATACATTTATCCAATCTGGCATTGAATAGATATCTGTATATTTTTGTTCCGTCTCGATAGCGCTATGCTAAAGCTGGGTATCCACTTGCGCAGCCTCGTGGCGAGCTGCCTCGTCGTGAGCGTGCCGCAGGCCGCGGAAACTACATGTGTCTCCACTTGAGCATCACATTTATCGTCGAGCGCGGCATGCCTCAACCCGAGCCACGATTTTCTCAATTCCTCGTCGACCACCATGGTTAACGCACGTAAAGTCGCTGCAGCATTAGTAGTAATTAGTCACTACAAAAGGAAGCAACAGAATAAACGGAAACATCGATGGTGGACTAAGGAAATATATCGTCAGCGAAATGTTCATGCAAATCAATTGTTGTCAGATATGACCTTTGAAGGCGTAGAAGAAACTATTAAAAATTTTACCAGAATGAATTCTGAAACCTTTGAAGATCTATGTATCAAACTTGAACCAATAATTGGAAAAAAAGATACATCGTTCCGCAAAGGAATCACAACAAGAGAAAGACTGGCGATCACCCTGAGGTTTTTGGCAAGTGGTGATTCGTTTGTTAGTTTGCAATACCTTTTTAGAGTGTCAAAGCAATCTATTTCAAGAATTGTTCGCAAAACATGTGATGCCTTGGTAAAAGTGCTCAAAGAATATGTTCAGGTATGTTAAAAATGCTTTATTAAACAAAATTATACTTAAATTTTTATTAATTTAAATTAAGAAAAAAGTACAAAGTTACAATAATGACAGAGTAGTAAATTGTTCAGAATTTTCAGTAGAATCTTGTGAGTTCACAGAAGTTTGTTCGTGCGCAGAAGTTTGCCCATATTGTTGGGAATTTTGTACGTTCGCAGAAGTGTGGCCGTATTGTTGCGTGTTGTATCCTTGTTGTCGTGAAGTCATCATACAATGTAACATCCCGGTATCAGCTTTAAATAGGATATCCATTATAGCCTTTTTGACGTGGGCTAAAGTAATTGGATCATATTTTCTAAGTTCTGCAGTAATATGTTTACCAAACGTATCGTAACTATCATCAGTATAATTTAACACTTCCATAGCTTTATCTAGGTCTATATTGTCTTCACAAGCATCAGGCATTTTTCATTTATTTGATCTTAAAGTTTCTGGCTGTGTCTGTTGTTGATCATCGCGGGGCAAAGATGATCGCTCGGAAGAAGAAGTTTCACCGATGCGTGAAACTTCTTCACATAATTCTTCATTCTGTAAATTCAAATAAATAAAATCATCCAATAATGTTTAAGTAGTACGATAGCCTAAGCCTAATAGTAAAATATGTGACTTAATTTTCAGATACCATCATCAGAAGAAGAATGGTTAAAAGTAGCACAAGATTTTGAAAACCAGTGGCATTTTCCTCATTGTGTGGTAAAAATTTTCCCAGCATCGTATTGCTTGGCTTGGTGGATGCTAATTATAATTTTATGTATGTAGACGTTGGATGTCAAGGACGCATATCCGATGGTGGAGTCTTTAAAAACAGTGCATTGTACAAAACATTGGAAAATAATGAATTAAAGTTACCAGCACCCTGTATATTACAGACACCATATTTGATTAAAGTGCCCTATGTTATATTAGCTGACAAGGCATTTGCTTTAAACAGTTATACTATGAAACCGTTAGAAGGAACCCCAGACAATGGTTCTCCGGAAAGAATAATCAATTACCGTTTATCTAGAGCACGAAGGGTAGTAGAAAATGCTTTTGGCATCATTAGTTCTGTATTTAGAGTGTTAAGAAAACCAATGCTATTGGAACCAGAAATTGCTACGAAAGTGGTACTGGCAACTGTTTATATGCATAACTTTTTACGAAAAACTAGGACAAATATTTATACACCACCAGGAAGTTTGGACTCTGAAATCGATGGAAAAATCGTACAAGGATCGTGGAGGAATGAACCAGATTCGACTTCTTTTGTGCCTTTACGTGCAATTCCTAGACCCGAAAGCAATTCGGTCACACTTGGCTACACATTTCGTTACAAATGGACAAATAACATGGCAACATAGATATTAATAAAAATAATGAATAATAAAATTAATTGGTGTTTGAATAATAAACATGTTAATAAGGTTTTTTTTTGGAAATAGTAAAAATTATCATTAATTAAACTTCTCGTCGCAATACTACGCACGCGCGTGCGCTCGGTCGGTCCGTCGGCGTGGCACTATACTCAGGCCATTCACAAGAAATAATGTTTAATGACAAACGTTGCTAGGCAACCAAAATCAGGTTTCCGTCTTCCTTTACCACTGTACGCGTTTCTTGTAAAAACGATACATTATTAGTTCCCAGCTACGCGCGAAAATATTAGCACGGGTATTTTCGTTAGCGTATCTTGGTAGAAGTCTCAGGCTGCGGGGAATCCCCATAGGGATTGTAAACTGAAGCTGTTCATATATTTTAATGAATATAGCTACGTTCGACCGACGTCAGCGCTGACCGTCAGTCGTGCACTAAATCCAGCCTAATACTTACAAATGCAGGTGGTTCTGAATTTGTTGTGTCACTTGCTGTAGAAGGCGACGATGTGTCGATAGACATTGAGTGTTGAGTCTCACGGGGAGTGTCAGCCAAGAAGTGGAAGTGCTCATAAGCGAACCATTTCGAAATATACACCTCATTACGACCTAGAATAAAATTTTTATTAGAGGTACCTACACACGTGAGTGAAATCAGTAGGTAGGTATAAAAGAAATGACAAGAAATTTACAACTATTTTTCAAATAGCAATGAATTTTTACCTGATCCCGTGACGAGACTTTTTTTATGACGAGATTTTTCCCTCCGAAAAGATCCACAAAGCGAAGTAATTTTTTTTTAACTTCCGAAACGGTTAGTTGCATTTTGTTGGCTATTATTTTCCATGCATCTTCTTTTAATTGCTTATTATAATGATGCGATGATGAGTTCACCACTTGGATCCCATAAATGTCGGTAATTTTCATACAATTTTATTAATTCGAAACATTTCTCGTTGTCCATTTTGCCGCGTACCGAGCCCGTCTCCACTGAACGCACGCCTCACACTGAGGCGTCTTTGAGCATGGCCATTTACCGACACGATTTGGCTCGCCACGCGGCCGCCTCGTTTGGTTTAAGTCGCGGCAAGCCTCGACTCGCGGGGCACGTCTCCACTAGATCTGCCTCAAATGGATACCCAGCTATACGGTAATGTTGAACTTAGCACTTTTCCTGGAAACAGTGAGCCTTCTATTTTAAATCTAACTGTAGTTCCAGGTGAGAACTCAACATATTTTGAAGTGGAAGGTTTAGATAAGAGCATACTTTCTTCTTCTTGCTCATGTTGCAAAACTCCATCTATAACAACAAACTCTTCGATCACCTCTTCTATCACCTCTTCCTCCGCTGTTTCAGTTTCTATTTCTTCGCTTTCCGGCGGCATTTCATCTAACAAGTTTGGTGTCGACGGTGCCAACGTAATATCAACTTCATCTTTATTCTTATTTTCCTTGTGCTGAGTCTTAAGTTTCTTCTTGTTCTTTGAACCTTGTGGACGGCCTCTTTTAGCAGAAACCTTTGATTTTGACACATTAGCTTTACTTTTATTCCTATAGTATGCTTCGACTTCTTTGACTGAAACGCTCTTACCAGCGCTAACGGGCATTTGGAATTTTCTCTGGTTCTGGAGGCCTAAGTCGGCAGCACGCATTTCACTTAGGTAGCTTTTAAAACTTTCTCCTAAAGCTTCTTTGACATCAGTCACATTGATTGGAGTTTTGGCATATTCAGCAAGTCGATTCAGCGCCTCTTGACGATTTAAGGGATAAATACCAGCTGCTCTAAATCCTGCTATGATATTACTGGAAGAATGCTGACCATTCAGTTCTAAAGTTCTTTTCACGAGCGTCGCGAAGCAGTTTTTGGGAAGCGCAACAGCTTTTTTACCCCTCGTCGTCTGACGCCAATTCAAAAGAACAGACCTCCAAGAAGATTTCAAAGCACTGAAATAACCCACATCAAGTGGCTGAAGTATATGTGTGGAGTTCGGAACTAAACAAATAAATTTAACGTCATTGTCTTTGCACAACTTCAATGTGTTGACTGAAATATGGGAACTCAAGTTATCGCAGAGGAGAACTTTCTTGCCTTCTTTCTTTAATGCTATGGGAAGAAAATGTTTGCTAAACCAGTCTTCGAAACTTTCTATATCTATCCAACCACTTTTTGTGACTGTCATTCGTGATCCAGGTGGTGCTCCAATAAGCCAATCTGACCACGTGTTTTTAGCTTTAAATATGAAGTATGGAGGGATCATTTCTCCGGCAGCATTGCCACAAAATACAGTTGTATAGCACGATTTTGTGGAGTTGCGAATAACTTCCGGATTACGACATTTGCGTCTGAAAAGCATCTTTTTCTTTTGTGGGTCATCAAGAAAGCCAGTTTCATCAAAATTGAAAATATTTTCAGGAGGTATATCCTGCAACTCCACTTCTAAATGGTCGAAATTTTATTCATCAACTTGAGCCCTACTACGACTAATGTTACGGCCAAACGTAAACTTCAGATCTGGGTGTCTGCTGAGAAATAACTGACC